AAAAAAAAAAAAAAAAAAAAGAAAGTCTCCTGGCTCCTGGAGTCGCGGGGCAGCCCCTTTCCTCCCTCTCCCCCTCCTGGGCCTGTCCTTAGCGTGTGTGTGTGTGGGGGGGGGATGATTTCTTTTTGTCAATTTGTAAGCACTCTTTACATATTATAGCTATTAACTTTAAGCTGTCCAAAATGTTGCAGAATTTTCCCCAAGCCTTTTGTACATTGCCTTGCAAATGTTTTAAAGTGTTATGCAAATACATCTGTCTTGCATTTCACAGATTCTGGGTTTCCAACCTTGGCTAGTGGGAGGAGCCTTCCTCCCTCCTCCTCCTTCTCTTCCCCCTCCCCCACCCCAGCCTCTCCTTATCTCCAGCTCCTCCTTTCCCAGGATTCTGCCTCCCAAGGAGGGAGCTGCCCGGCCTCTCCCTCCCGCCTCCTCCAGTCTCCCCTTAGTTAGAAGGTGGGTTGTTCTACTCCTTGTCGATTTTTAAGAGCTCTTCCTACTTACCTATCAACCTCCTGCTGCTCAACTCGTCCTCAATCCTGCCTATTGACTTTCTTTATAATGTTGTTATTTAACATCTTAAAGTGCTAAGTTGTTTTTTTATTTTTTTGTGGTTTTCGCTTTTTGTTTTTTTTTTTTGAGACAGTCTCACTCTGTCGCGCCTGCTAGAGGGCAGTGGCGTCATCCTAGCTCACTGCGACCTCAAACTCCTGGGCTCAAACAATCCTCCTGCGTCAGCCTCCCGAGTAACTGGGACTGCAGGTTTGAGCCACTGCACCCGGCTAATTTTTTTTTTTCTATTTTTAGTAGACACGAGGTCTCGCTCTTGCTCGGGCTGGTCTCGAACTCCTGAGCTCGAGCGATCCTCCGCCTCGGCCTCCCAGGGTGCTGGGATGACAGGCGTGAGCCACCGCGCTGGCCAGGTGCTAAGTTGCGTGCAGACTCGTGCACCCTGTACTCCCGGGTTGCGGGTTTCCGGCCCGCGTTAGGCAGGTCGCCCGGTCTCCGGGGAGGGGGCGGCCTCCAGGGAGGGGGCGCCCTCCCCTCCCCTCCCCTCCTCTCCCCTCCCCTCCTCTCCCCTCCCCTCCCGAAGTCCTTATCTCGCAGCTTCTCCCTTCCCACGGGGCAGCCGCTTAGAAGCGCGCGGGAGCGCGGCCCGGGAGTGCCGCCATGTCCCCGCGGTGCCCGCTGCTGCTGGCCCTGGCCCTGGCGGCCGTCCCCTGCGCCCTGGGCGCCTGCCCCGCGCCCGCCGACCTCAAGAAGGAGGACGGGACGCGCACGTGCGCCAAGCTGTACCAGAAGAGCGACCCCTACCAGCAGAACTGCTGCGCGGGCCCCGAGCTGCCTGCCCTACCTGCAGTCCCACAGCCCCCAGACCCAACCCTGGAGGGCCCTGAGCCCTCGCTGCCCTCATATCCAAGCTCACAGGCCCTGAGACCCTAGATCCAGCCGTCGCACCCCCCAAACCCATCCCACCTGTCCCTGTCCCCCAGGAGCTCCAAGAGCTCCCAGCCCCAAACTCTCCCAGGCCAAGACCCCCCAACTTCTGAACTTGGAGCCTCAGTTTGAGATTCCCCAGCCCCCCACCCAGCCTCAGGCTTCTAGAACCCACCACACCTGGATCTCTGAGCTCCTGGCATCCACTGATGGGAAGTTTTTATCATGCTGCAGGTGCTCCTGAGGCCTTGGAGTCCCCTCACCTGCGACCTCCACACAGCGCCGAGCCCGTCACCGGGCCTGTCCCTGGGGTCTGCTGCAGGTCCCAAGACCCAAGAGGAGTAGCTTTCTGCCTGCCCCACCACCTTCCCTGAAATACAGCGCTTGTGAAGTTGTCCCCGTCTGCCATCTGCTTGTATTTGGGACCCAAGTCCACCCAGGACCGGGTGGAATGGGGGACAGAGCAGGGTGGCCAGGTCAGCCCGTACCTGGGACAATGCCATGGATGGGGACGCACCAAAGATTCTGACGCGGTTTTAGGCACGCACAAGACACGCATCCACGGAAGGACATATGCGTGGCATGTGCAGGGGCGGCTGGCTGATTGTTCAGTGTTGACATGCTCCCCACCCTTTTTGATAAACAACCCTTCCCTGAGCTGTTCTAGCGTCCCCCAGTCCCCGGGGAGGGGGGCCTCCAGACGCCCTCTGATCCCTGCATGGGACAGCAGGGGGCCTTGTAGGACTCTGGCTGCAGCCCAGGTCTCATACAGGTGTCAAATACTTTCCGTGACCCCCTCCCCCCCACAGGGAGGTCACTTTAGTTCAGATTTGCATATTTCTGTTCCCGTAGCAATGTGCGTCCCCACCCCCCCCACAGGTTGGGGACCTTGATGGATACCTGGGTTCAGGGGCACTGGGGGGCACTGGAGAAGAGACACAAAGGGTCCTGGGAGGAGAGGTATGGGGACAGCTCTGGGGGAATGACAACTGGAGGAGCTGGAGGGAGGAGGGGGATTGGGGAGATTCTGCGAGTGCAGAGAGACGGGAGAGGAGCTAAGCGGAGATGCTGAGAGTCCGTCCGCCGGGGCCGTGCGAGGAGAGCAGAGGTCAAGGTTGAGGCAAAAGGTGCACAGGTTTTAAAGGTGCTGGAGGGTCAAGGCTAGAGGGTGTGCGGATGGGGCACGGACCGAGAGAAGTTCTGGGGAGCAGAAACCGGGACGCGCTCAGCATCCTTGGGCACGTGTATTTATTCGTTCGCTCAGCAGAGATTTACTGAGCACCTGCTCTCTGCCCCGCACCGGATTTGCAAGGAGCGGCCCCTGCCCTCGCGGAGCCCGGGGAGCGCAGGGGAAATGCCAGAGGGTCGGACACCCAGGGACGTGTGAAGATGAGAAGCCCGGGGCCGGGCGGGATTGAGGGGCCAAGGAGGTGGCCCCGTGCGGGAGCTAAGTAAGGGACATGGCGGAGCTAAGGTCGGGCGGTGCCGTGGGGTCAGGACAGGCATAGGCTCAGCCCGTCACTCCCTGAGCTGCACGGACACGGAGGAGTCGGTCACCCTTGTCCTCCGCAGGCCGCCGGGCACCGTGCGGTTCTTGGTCTTGTGCAGGAAGTGGACGAAGCGCACTCCAGAGCCGTAATGGCGGAACACGTGGGACACCTGTGTGGCACCCGGGGTCAGGAAGAGGGTCCTTATCAGGGACCCTCAACCTGCCCCCCCACCCTGAGGTCTCGGGAGACAAACACATATCTGGGGGTGGGGACTGGGACAGGGAGTCTCACCTGCACCCAGCAGCCAGGGCGGCCTCTCCCGGAGGTCCGCGGTGCCACGTGGTGCTGCGCCACGACCGTGCGGCGGTCCGCTGCCAGCAGCCACACGTGCAGCTCATAGACGCAGGCGTCAAGCCGGCTGTCCTCGAACCTGGAGGGGCGGTCCGGGCCTTCAGTTGCCACCGCGGTCTCGACAACCCTGGCCCCATTCCGCATTCAGCAGACACTCACCGGCACCCAGCGTGTGCACAGCCCTGGGCTGGGTGGTGCTGGCAACACGGCAGTGACCAAGAGAGCCCCCACCCTGGCCTCGTGGGTACATAGTCCAGTGAGGGGGGCAGACATGTCACCTGGCAGTGACAGCCAGCAATGGCCAGGGCCAGGCTGGGGGGACAACGGCAGAGGGGCTGGGGGATGAGGGGGCACAGGGCACTGGAGTGAATGCACCCGACCCAGCTGGGGGGCAGTCAGGGAAGGCTTCCTGGCGGAGCCATGTGTAAATGACTCCTGTACGCAGCAATCAGTCTTGGGAACAGAGGGGGCGACAAGCACCCAAGGGAAAAGGAACAGCCTCAGCAAACCCCAACGATGCGAGAGACCTGGCACATTTCAAAACGGAAAGACTCGGAGAGCAGGGGCTGGAGTGGAGGCAGGGCTGGATCCGGCAGCACCAGGAGGGTCTTGGGGAGGAGCTCGGGGCCCCGGGGAGCACGGGGCAGGCTGGTGCTCTGGGGGGCCCTGCGCGACGGAGGGGCCGGCCCGGCGGGGCCGGGGCACGCACCAGTCCATGACCGTGATGTCCGGCTGCTCGTCGTCAAGCAGCTCCTCCCACAGGCCCTCGGCCAGAAGGTCCACGCACTGCTGCTTCACCGTCCAGCTGCGAATGCGGGATGAGAGAGGTGGGGTCCGGATCCTCTGGGATCCCGGGGGGTCTGGGTCGGTCTGGCTCCGGGGAGCAGGGAGCCCCAGTCTTAGTGCTCTCGGCGATGGCAAGAGCCCCCCCCACACACACACAGGGGCCCTCAGCACTCTACAGTCTTGGCTCCCACGAGCCCCTCTCTGGGCGATGCGTTCTGAGCCCCGCCACGTTGCAGATGAGGAAACTGAGGCCCAAGATGGAGACTTAGGGAAGTAAAACTCAGTGGAAAGCAACGGGGGGCGGGGAGGGGAATAAACCAACCTAATGGGTACCATGAACACTATTTGGGTGACAGGCACACCTACAGCCAGGACTCAAGCATTACAAGAATGAGCTATGTGGCCTAAAACATACGCACTCCCTGAATATTTTGAAAGAAAGAAAGAAAAAAAAAAAAGACAATGGAGACTTGTCCCAGGTCAGGCCACGAAGAAGTGGCAGAACCAGGATCCAAACCCGGGCGCGTGTGACTCTGAGTGCCGAGTTACACCGCCTCATCCACGGTGCAGAGGCAGGGCTTGGGTCGGTGGGGGACAAGCGGTGGCCTGGGTGGCTCTTCCCCTCCCAGGGAAAGAGGCTGAAAGTAATAGCAGCAGTAACAATAACAGCTGCTGTTTACTGAGCAGCTGCTATGTGCCAGCCCAGCTTAGCCGAATCCTGCGCTGCGTGTTTCACAAGCATCTTCTCCCATGACTAACCCTGTTTACAGAGCAGGAAACCGGGTCCCACAGTGACACGCAGGCCACACCGGCCCTGGCGACTCACCTTAGGTCCTTGTGGAGTGTTTCAGTTTTAATGTGCCATCCTCGGAAATTGCCTGGCAGGTGGAGGGGCAGAGCGTTGGAACACCCCATCCTGGAGGCCACCCCCGACCCTGAGCCCCCCTGTCCCCAAGCGCTCACCCAGAGTCTCCAGGGGTTGCCGCGTGGGACCAGTAGGGGGCGCTGGCTCGTAAATGTTGATGCCTGCAATGCACAGGTGAGGGGCCCTCAGGCTGGCGCCCAGACCCCATCCCCACCCCACCCCCACCCCCAGGGCTGCACTGGAAGGGCGGGAACCTGTCCCCCGCCAGAGTAGCCGGGCGGGGAGTGAGTGAGTCAGGGCCCCGGGGAGAGAACCGTGAGAACCTCCTGGGGGGTGGGGACCGATGCCGGGAGTGAGACGAGACAGAGGGACAAAAAGAGGGACCCGGAGAAAGCCACAGAAACACAGGCAAGAGCCGGCGAGAGGGAGAGAGAGATGCAGGGGTGAGACAGAGAGATGCAGGGAGAGACGTATGACATAGACACAGAGGTACAACGGAGATGCAAGGTGGGACACAAGGACGCGGGGAGACAGGCACAACGACAGAAAAGGAGAGAGAGGGACGCAGAGAAATGAAGAGACAGAGAGAGACAAAGAGACAGAGACGGAGAGACAAGGAAAGAGAGACGGGAAGATGAAGAGACAGAGGGTCTGGGTGGTGCCTGCCCAGTGCTCCAGGCACCTTCGGGGTTGGGCGAGCGCAGCAGGTTGCGGTAGAGCGGCCGCCGCAGGAGGAGCACCTTCCAGGTGAGGCTCGGGGGCAGCTCCAGGCCCCCGCCCAGCGGCCCCCACTCCTCCAGCAGCAGTTGCCGGGCGCAGGCCTCGGACGGCTCGGGCTGGGGGCGCTCGGGGGTCTCCGGGGCCGCGGGAGACGTCGGCAAGGGCAGAGGTGGCGGCGGCGACGGCGGTGGTGGCGGCGAGGGCGGCAGCTCCTGGGGGCTCGCGGGCCCGTCAGCCTCCATCGCGCCACCGAGAGCGCGTCCGTCCCGCACCTCCGCCATCCGTGGTTGGGTCTGGGCGACTGTCCCCGGTTTTGCAGGGCTTGGGGTTAGCCGGGAGCAGGAAGGGGCAGGGCGCCCCAGCTGGCGTTTAGGAGAGGGGCGTGTTAGGGGGAGGATCTGCGCTCTCGGGCCCTCCTCCCTCAGACCCGGGAGTCTGGGCCCCCACCCCTCCTCCCTCAGACCCGGGTCCAGGTCCCCAGCCCCCTCCTTAGGTCCCCAGACTTCCTCCCCCAATTTGCCCGGCTCTGCAGTCCGCCATGAGGCCCATGCCCCTCACTGGGATGCAGCGTGGGGGGACTGAGGGTTGGTTAATGACGACCTCTCCTCCCTCCCCCTTCTCACTCTGGGGGGCATCGGAGGGGTGGGTAGGGGTGGAGAGGGGAGGTCCTGCCTCTGCCACTTCCTCCTCTGCCCTCACTTAGGACACCCCTTCGGGACCCCGACATTTTCTGTCCTAGAAACCAAGGCGAGGAGAGCACAGAGAGACCTGGAACCAGAGATGGGGAGCCCCAGAGATGGGGGGCCCCAGGGAGGCACGGGGATAGCAGTAGCCCCAGCTTCTGGGCTTCTGGGGGCCTGCACCCCTTCCTGGGTGGGGGCAGGTAGGCTGCCGAAGCCTCCTCCCTCAGAGGTCGTGGGGAGGGCTGGAGTGGGGGATGGGGCGATGGGGGGCAGGAGGCGCGGAAGAGGTGGGGTGGCCGGGGAACCTGTAGGGCCAGATGCCCATGGCCACTTCCTGCCCAGGGCCACATCCTACACCTGACCCAGGCAAGCGCGGCACTGAGCTACACCCAGGTTATCGACATGCGCCGCAGCGCTGCTTTCTGGGTCTGTGCTAAGGTAGTTCCACCCTCCTAGCAAGGACGAGGAGGTGGGCGCTGCTGCGATCAGCATTTTCCAGGGAAAGGGAAGGAACCAGCACACGTGCTGTAGCCGTCTACACTGGCCCCATGTGATCCGGTATAGCTCTTGCCCACAACAACGCTGCAAGGGGTGCCAGTGCTATGCCCATTTTACAGATGTGGAAACAGAGGCCACCCTCCCTGGCCTCATCCCATTCTGTCCCAGATAACCCCACAAGCTCCCAAGGGCACTTCCTGCCCCCACACGCTCAGACACTCTGTGACAATGCTCAGGTAATTGAGGGCTGCCCGCGTGCCAGGTGTTTTGCCAAGTCCATCAGGCAGAGTGATTAATTCCATCTCCACATCCGCCCTAGGAAGTAGACACCATCGTCGTGCCCATTTTGCAGATGAGGAAACAGAGAGGTCTAGTAACTCACCCAAGGTTGCACAGCTGGCACATGGCGAGTCGGATACACTCACACACGGAGTCTCGGGGAAGATACACAGGGACACAGATTAAAATCGCTCCCGGGAAGACTGACTGACTCACACAGAAGCAGACAGGAGCTGGTGGTTACATTTACTGATGGTCTGTCTTGAACTCATCAAACCTCACAGCCCTGCAGAGGTGGTGGCGGGTAATCGCATCTCCACTACGGACCAGGGGACTAAGGCAAGTCGGGACTGAACCATGGCCGTGGGGGCCGGGGGACCCTTGGGAGGGGGCAAAGCAACTCATGCACGCGAGAGGCGTAGCCCCACCTCATCAGAAGTCCCAAGCAGATTCCCAAACACTGGCAGAGCCCACGACACACGACCAGAGACACTGCCCCGGCCACCGCAAGCACACAAACCCACGCCGTCCTGGCCGCCCACCCACGCTGTCTCCCGCCCATCGCCGCCATGGGGAGGAGGAGGAGTGTCTGGTGCGTGGAGCCAGAGCTGTTCCCGGGTCAGAATCCAGGGCGGGGCGTGGCCGGGAGGAGCCAGAGGTGAGCGGGAGGGAGGGCAGTGAGCAGGCTGCAGAGTCGTGGTTTTCACATCATCTCTTTTCTGGGTGCCTCACCCACATCAGTTCCACACCTCCCCCTACACACACACACACACACACACACACACGCACACGACAGCCAGAGGGCTTGTGCTAAAGCCCGAACCCGACCGCGTACTCCCCCACCTGAACCTTCCATGACTCCCTAGTGCCCTCCCTCAGGAGAAAATCCCAGCTCTTTCGCCAGCATTCAAGGCCCTGGGTTTCTGGTCCCTCCCTCCATGACCTGTTCTCTCCCGTTGACATTTTTTTTTTTTTTCCTTTTGAGACAGGGTCTTGCTCCGTTGCCCAGGCTAGAGTGCCGTGGCGTCATCATAGCTCACTGTAGCCTCAAACTCCTGGGCTCCAGCGATCCTCCTGTCTCAGCCTCCCCAGTAGCTGGGATTACAGGCACGCGCCACCACGCCCGGCTAATTTTTCTATTTTTGGTAGAGATGGTGTCTCGCTCTTGCTCAGGCTGGTCTCGAACTCCTGACCTCAAGTGATCCCCCCACTTCGGCCTCCCTCTCCTGAACACACTGCATGGCTCCAGGAAGTCCCGGATCAGGTTCTACTTTTCAGCCTAGTTTCTGAGTCACTTGTGAGTTGGTCCCAATCCCCGTCCATACCACTCTGCCCCTCTCTACCTCCCGGAGCTCCAAATCCTGCTCATGACAAGATGCCCCGCTCTCGAGAAGAAGACAGGATGGAGCCGGTGACGGGCCAGGGACACTTGCCATTGAATTCAGAGTCCACCCAGATGATCTGGGGTGATCTGGGGTGATCTCCTCAACTCAGGGTCTCTAACTTAATCACATCCGCAAAGACCCTTTTTCCAAATAAAGTAGCACTTACAGGTTCTGGGGATTGGGATGTGAACGTATCTTTTGTGGGGGCCACTGTCCAATGCACTACAGACAGGGACCCTTCTGAGGGTAGGGACACACCTCGGGGAGACAGGAGAACCTAGCTCAGTGAGTGTCACGTTTGAGCGTTTGTCAGATTCCTCTGGAGGCCTTAAACACAGACTGCCGGACCCCACAACTCTCGGCCCCTGAATTTCTGATTCAGTAGTCACGGGGGTGGGCGGCCTGAAAATGTGCATTTCTAACAAACCCCTCAGGTGACGCTGATGCTGCTGGGCTGGGACCCACTTCGAGAACCACTGTCCTGATGGTTACGAGTGTAAGGCTGCCCGCAGTAAGTCCCCACCTTATCCCGTGTGTCCTTGGCAAAGGACTTTGCCTCTCTGAGCCTCAGTTTCCCCCAGGAGTTAGCCCTGCTTTCCTCTGACTCCTGCCCGAGGTGGCCACACCACACTCTGCCTGTGTTTTTGCTGGTCCTCGAGCCTCTGACTTCCTCCCCACCTCAGGGCCTTTGCACATGCTGCTCCCACAACCAGCCTGTGAGGCCCTCCTCTCTGCATTTCCGAGGCTCCACTCACACGTGTCGGCCTCCTGATGTACACACCCTTCTTTTTTTTTTTCTTTTTTTTTTTTTTTTGAGACAGAGTCTGGCTCTGTTGCCCGGGCTAGAGTGCCGTGGCATCAGCCTAGCTCACAGCAACCTCAAACTGCTGGGCTCAAGTGATCCTACTGTCCCAGCCTCCCGAGTAGCTGGGACTACAGGCATGCGCCACCATGCCCGGCTAATTTTTTCTATATATATATTTTTAGTTGGCCGATTAATTTCCTTCTAATTTTGGTAGAGACGGGGTCTCGCTCTTGCTCAGGCTGGTCTCGAACTCCTGAGCTCAAACAATCCGCCCGCCTCAGCCTCCCAGAGAGCTAGGATTACAGGCGTGAGCCACCGCGCCCGGCTTGATGTACACACCCTTCTTGATTTCCTACCTGACGGTACAGCTTGGTGATTGTTCTCTCTTGGGACACAGAAAGCAACCTGGGCCCTCCCCAGGCCAGGTAAGTTTCCCACCCCTGCTAGTCTCTGTGGCCACTCCCTGCTCTTTCTTTGTTGTGCCAGGTATGATTTGTAAATCCAGCTGAGTACGTGGAACAGGCCCGCTGGGGCATAGCTGTCTCACTGTGCTGGGGTGTCAGCCGCACCGGGGCAGGGCCTGGGCAGGTCTGTTTATTGTTTGTCCCCAGCTCGGGGCTGACACGGACTGTTGCTCTGCTTGCTGGGCAGGGAGGGCGGGAAGGCCAGGCCCCGTGGCAGAAGGAAGAGCCTCCGTCTAGTCGTCTAGTGGAGGCACCATGTCCAACCTCCCACAGCTTGGGCTGCAAAACCAGTGTCAACCCCAGGAGCTGGCGCATCCCAGGCCCCAAAGCCTGCTGGTGGAGACAGAAGGGCGGGCGTCCTGCAGAGGGGGACCTGGGGCTTGGGGGAGCAGACCCTGGGTTCTCCACCGGGGCTGCAGGGTGTGGGAAAGTGCAGCCAGGCCAGGAGGGGCTGGGGGTGGGAGAAAGGTGGGCTGGGTTGGGTGCTGCCCGTCCCAGATGGGAACCACAGAGGTCTGCCAGCTGGAGGGGCGGTGAGCCAGCTGCTCCCTGCAGGGGGCGACAGAGAGGCGGGAATGAGGCAGGGCACGTGGAGGGAGGTGGGAGAGGGGGAGAGAGGAGGGAGGGAGGGATTCAGAAAGAGACGAAGATAAAGACAGAGGCTGAGGCTTAGAGACAGAAAGAGAGAGGGACTTAGAGAGATGGGGGTGGGGTTGACCAGAGCCAGGGAAGGATCCAGGGAGGGTCAGAGATACCCGGCAGGCATGGCCTAGGGCGGAGGGTGGGTGGGAGCCCAGGGGTGCTTGAGGGAGCAGGGGACGTGCGGGTGCGCTAGATAAATCCGCCCGTGTGCCAGTCTTAAGGTGCAAGAGCTCTCGGTAGCATCATCTAGAACCGCCGCGAGCTCCCCAGACAGCGGCTGTTCCGTTGGGTCGTGGTTCATCCCGATGGAATCCTACACAGCCGTCAGCGGGACTGAGGTTGCTTTTTATGCACCTACAGGGACAACCACCAAGATGTACGTTGTTAGGCGGGAAAAGGCAGGGGCCCCAGGATGTGCACGTTTTGCTAATATCGTGCAAAGTGAAACACGAAGGGGCTGCCCTTCGAAGGGCTGGGTGTGTCACTGCAGAGCGGTACTCACCCGCTTCGCTTACTGATGTCACCTGCCTGGCCATGGGGGCATTTGAGTCCGACACTCCCGGACCAGGTGAGGCCTGGGTGGGTTCTGTTCTGCCCACTAAGGAGTCTCAGCTGTGATATCCTTATTGGCTTTTGGGTTCTTTCTCCTCTAAGTTGCCTGTTCATGTCCTTTGCCCACCTTCCTGTTAGGGGTGCTCTCTTTTTCTGGTTAAGTTGTCTTAGCCTGGGCGCGGTGGCTCACGCCTGTAATCCTAGCACTCTGGGAGTCCGAGGCAGGAGGATCACTTGAGGCCAGGAGTTCAAGACCAGCCTGAACAAGAGCGAGACCCGTCTCTACAAAAAATAGAAAAATTAGCTGGGCATGGTGGTGGGCATGGTGTCCTGTAGTCCCAGCTACGGGGGAGGCTGAGGCAGGAGGATCGCTTGAGCCCAGGAGTCTGAGGTTGCAGTGAGCTGTGATGACGTCACTGCACTCTAGCCTGGGAGATAGAGCGAGACCCTATCTCAAAAAGAAAAAAAAAAAACTCTTGTCAGTATTAGACTTTGCAAATATTTTCTCCCATTCTGAAACCTATTACAAAGAAAAATTATTGATTTCAGTATAACCACCTTTATTTTTTCGTTATAATGTGTGCCTTTGGAGTTTTGTTTAAAAAGTCCTTCTTGGCCCCCAGGTCATCAACTTTATGCTTCACCTTGCACAGTTAGATCTTTTTTTTTTGAGACAGAGTCTGGCTCTGTTGCCCGGGCTAGAGTGCCGTGGTGTCAGCCTAGCTCACAGCAACCTCAAACTCCTGGGCTCAAGCGATCCTCCTGCCTCAGCCTCCCGAGTAGCTGGGACTACAGGCATGCGCCACCATGCCCGGCTAATTTTTTCTCTATATATATATTTTTAGGTTGTCCAGATAATTTCTTTCTATTTTTAGTAGAGACGGGGTCTCGCTCTTGCTCAGGCTGGTTTCGAACTCCTGACCTTGAGCGATCCACCCACCTCGGCCTCCCAGAGTGCTAGATTACAGGCGTGAGCCACCGCGCCTGGGCAGATCTTTATCCATCTAGAGAAACAGTGTCCAAGAGAACTGAGATAACGGAAGTGTTCGGCATCTGTACTGTCCAATCAGTAGCCACTGACCGCGTGTGGCAGCCGAGCGTGAGAAACGTGGCTAGTGCAACTGAGGGACCGTATGCTTAATTTTATTTCACTTTAATTGAAAATCAAATATCCACAGGCAGCTAGTGACCACTGTCCTGGACAGCAGAGATCTAGGCTTCCTCTTTGTTGTGGCACTAGGTGGGGATTTAGTTTTTTCTCCATAAATAGCCAATTTCGCCGGCACTATTATGAAACAATCTCTTTCCCCCCTTGGATTTGTGGGGCCGTCCTTATCGTACAGGGAGCTCCTGCGTACATCTGCGTCTGCTTCTGGGCTCTCTGTTCTGACATTAAATCAGAATTTCCAGGGAAGCCCCGCAAGCGGAGCGAACAGCAGGGGTGGAGAATCACGACTGGAATTTGGAGTTAGACACACGGCCGCCCCGAATAGAGACTGCGTGTCCCAACCTCCCTTGCCGCGGGTGCGGCTGCGTGACTCGGCTCCGGCCAGTGAAGTAATGGTGACACCTCCGGGTCAGGTCCCTAGGAGGGAGCGCCCTCCTCTCCCCGCGCCCCTCTTGGTGGGATGAGTCATCTTACTCCACGTGGGAGAGGCGGGGGTCCCAGGATGAAGAAGGAACGAGATGGAAGGACCCGGGATGTTGGTGGCGCGAGAGGGCTCAGTCCCACTCATCCCGGCCTCTCACGCGAGGGCACTTGTGGACCTCAGGGGTTCCCAGCCCTGAGCAGGCATCAGAAGGCCCTCGAGGGCTTGTTAAAATGCAGATTGCTGGGCCCCACCAGTTTCTGATTCAGCCGGGGGTGAGGCCCAGGAATTCACACGTCAATCTCCCAGCGGTGCTGCTCGACTGGGAACCGCACTTTGGGAGCCACCGTTCCGACCTGTTTAGATCACTCGCTTTGGGTCTCTGTGACCCCAACACCTCTGGCCTACAGGCTAACACATCCCGGACGCTGCCTCCCAGGCTGTAGGTCTAACCGCCACCCACGACTCCTGTCCCGCCCAGTTCACATTCCTTCCCGCGGAGTGCCGGGTCTGGTCAATTACATTTGAACAAAGCGAATCCTCCGCGCTCCCCTGTTCCGCCCGAAACCCCGCTTTGCAGCCTCCCTTGCCAGCAGGGTCAGTAAGGCTCTGCCCGCAGGAGGCACTCGAGAGAGAGCGCAGGGTAGGAAGCTGGAAGACGCCATTCTGCTCTGGCGCCTTTAATGATCGCTGGGTACCTGGCTTTTAACTAACCAGCTGCCTGTGTTAAATCTGTCCCCTCCCCCGTTTGAAACAACTAGAGGGGCCCGTTTTCCTGACCCGCCACTGACTGCTCCCGTGGGAACCCCTTCTGCACGGGAACAGCAGCAGGGGGCAGCGCTGGGGCCTCAGCAGCCACTGCACCACCCAAAGCCAGCTCTTTAAGCCACACTGAGTGACCTAAGGCGCCCAAACCAGCAGAGACACTGTGGGGTCAGACAGATATGACCCTGGCAAGTGACCTTCCATCTGTGAGCCTGTTTCTTCGCCTGGGGAGTGGGCACCTCCTAGAGCTGTTCTCAGTGCCCGTGGGATGCCCCGAAGCCGGTGTTTCTGTAGTGCTCCGGTCTTCACCGCCCTTATCTGCTTTTGGAACCTCATCCTTTTAGAATGAGCTGGTGGCTGTCTTTTCTTACTTTCTGGAACAACTTGTACAAAGTAGGAATGACCTGCTCCTTCAGTTTGGTAGATCCCATTTCTAAGTGTTCAAGCCTGAAGCTTTTTATTTTTGGGTGTGTGTAGGGCGGGTGTGTTATCTTGGTCTTCTCGTTTTCTGTAAGTTTTTCTGCCAACTTTGGCATATTTTTTTCCCAGCAATGTATCCACGTCACCTAGGCCTCAGACACGTTCCTATAGAGCGAGAGCTGCCTGGGCTAATCCAGAATCTCTGCCCTCGAGCAAGAGCGAGACCCCGTCTCTACTAAAATTAGGAAGAAATTAATTGGACAACTAAAAATATATAGAAAAAATTTTGGTGGGGCTGGTGGTGCATGCCTGTAGTCCCAGCTACTCGGGAGGCTGAGGCAGGAGGATCGCTTGAGCCCAGGAGTTTGAGGTTGCTGTGAGCTAGGCTGACGCCATGGCACTCTAGCCCGGGCAACACAGTGAGACTCTGTCTCAAAAAAAAAAAACAAAAAAAAACAGAATCTCCGCCCTCGCCACTTGCGCCAACCAGCACAGCCAGGCTGGTCTCTGGTGCCAGTGACGCCCAGGTGGCGCTGGAGATGGAGACTCACTCCTGGTTCTCCCACCTGCACCCCCAGGAAGCCACTGCTGCCTCTGCCCACCCCTGGGTGCCGGGGAGGACGCAGGAAGTGCAGCCCAGCAGGGCCCGGGCAGCAGGATCTGCCGGCAATGCAGCCATGGTGTTGTCACCTCATGTCAGCCAGATTCCTTCCCCATCGCTGCGCCGGACGCTGCGCCCCCAGGCACCTGGGCTTGGGAGCGTCTCTCAAGCAGCAGCTCCCGGTCAGTCAGCCTCAGCCAGACCCCCCAAAGCCCATCTGCCCACGGACCAATCTGCCGCATGGCCAATTTACTAACGTAATTTTCAAGGGTCTGTTCCTACCCCCCAAACACAGTCAAGACGACCACCTTTAAGTTTCTAGGAAATCACAGATCTGGTGAACTGGTCACCATGGCTCATGGACTCTGGCAAGCTGGTGGCTTCCAGGGCGGGGGCCAGTCCTGCTGCCATCCAGGGACTGCGGTGAGCTGTTACCGGCTGCTGGGACTAGAACTCCCCATCCGCCCGCCCACCCTGCCCCGACCCTGCCTCGCCTGGACGCCCGGGGCAGCCAGGCCACTTCCCCCCAAGTTCCCACCCAAGATGGCCAGGCAGGGGCCCCCACACACCACACACACAAAACAAGACAACGTTTTAATTGTAAAACTAACTCGAGATGGGAGTGGGCGGGGCTGCGCGGACCGTGCAGGAACCTGACTCTTCAGGCAGTAGTTCTGTCTCCGGTGCCACCCCGAAGGACAGGGACCATCTGTCCCCAGGTGGGGGCAGGGGCTTGAGTGTTATAAAATGACAATATAAATAGACTTCTAGAAAAGAGGAGGCTGTCCAGGTGCAGTAGTCATTTGCTGCAGAGGCTGGGGTGGGTGGGAGGCCCCAACCCGTCTCCCATCCAGAGAGGTGAGCAGGGCTACGGGAAAAGGCCACTCTTCGGACATTCATGATCGACCCCCGCAATGGCTCAGGGGGAGGGGGGCTGGGTGTCAGGCAAGGTGTCCGGGACACCCACTTGCAGGCTGGAGGACAGAGCAACCGGACCCTCAGCGTGCACGCACACACACGCACACACACACCTGCACGCACACACGCACCGCTTTCATAGTGTTCTCTCCGCCCCAGCAACCCCCGCTGCAGACTTCCAGTGACGGGAGGGCCGCCTGTCCTTCCTGGAGACAGAAGAACACAGAGGGGGCCTGTCCCCGAGGGTAGGGAGGTCCTGGGAATCTCACTTACTCCCATGAGTCACTGTGATTTTTTAAAAGTCATAAAATCAAAACCAGAGTTCAGTAGTAGGGTCCCATATGCCCCCCCAGCAAAGAGGGCGGTGCCACATGGAGTGTCTCCTGGGCTGGGAAGAGCGGGGGCTGGCCCCCTACTGGCCTTGGCAGGGCCGGGCTGACCCGAGGGGCTCTTTGGTTCAGGGGCAGGCGCCGGGCCTCATCTGGTGCGGTTCTGGCGCATGAGCGGCACGATGCTGGAGGGCGGCCCCGCCTTGGCCAGGAACGGGTGCTTCAGCAGCTCGGCCGCCGTGGCCCGCTGCGCGGGGTCGCGGACCAGCAGGCGGTCCAGGAAGCCCTTCAGGGATGGTGACACCTGTGGGGAGGCAGGGGGGGTCAGGGGGAGAGGGCTCCCGGCGCTGGGTCTGAGCACCAGCCTCACTGGCCACCTGCCGTGGGGCCACAGTTTCCTCTTCCATCCAGTGGGCTGCGGGCGCCTGCTGCCCGGGGACGGGGGCGAATAGCGTGCGTGTGTAGAGCTTGGCTCTGGGGCTGGTGACAAACCCAAGGGCCCCTGGGTTTCATTTCCTCCCCATTTCCGTGGTTTGGCAAGGAGCTGGCAGCAGCTGGGCCCTGGGGGCCCTTCCCATCAGGAGGGTCCTCCGCCAGGAAGGCCCCGTCCCGTCCGCCACCTCCGACTGCCCAGATCTGCCTGCGGCAGGGCAGGGCCCGGGGCCTGGCTACGCGTGTGTGTTCAGCCAGGCCAACCTAAGCGCAACCTCTGTGGGTGGCCAGGGCACAGGGGACCGGCGGGCGCTGCCATCTCTGCTGCCCAGTCCCCACATCAGCCAGTTTCCAGCCGCCTGACGAGCACGGCCTCCCTGCCGGGCGGGGCCCACCTTGTGCAGGTTCTTCAGTCGGGGAGGCAGGTTGTCCCGGATCATCTTCATGGCTTTGAGGGGCGGCTCGTTGAAGTAGGGAGGCTCCCCATCCACCATCTCGATCACCATGACGCCCAGTGACCAGATGTCCACCTGGGGGCGGGAGGGACGGCAGGGCTGAGTGGGAAGGACAGCCCGTCCTGGGGGAAGCCAGGGAGAGGTGCCCCCTGTTCTGCCTTTGCCTCTTTGCTTCTGGAGTCCCTGGGCCCAGAACGCCCTCGCGGACACCCAGCCAGCCAGACCCCACGCACTCCTCCTGCAGGAGCCCCCGAAGGCTGTCGCCCACCAAACACCCCCACTTCTTTCTGCCACCCGCACAGGCGTGTCCTCTGGTGACAGCTCCCCCCAAGACCCGTCAGGCGGTCGTGCAGCGTCCAGCAGTGGGTGTGGGACCCAGGCGGCCTCAGCACCAGTCGGGACACAGAGATCAGCTGAGGAACAGGCACGGGACCCAAGCTGAGCCAACCGGAGTCCACCTGGGAACCTCCACCAAAATACCCAGGCCACAGCGGAGCCGGGGCAGCGCAGAGGCAGGAGACGCTGCCAGGCCGCCAGGTCGTCTCTGCCCCCACAGGGGGAGCGGGCGCCTGCCCGACTGCAGACAACACTGAGACAAAGAGACGTGGACGACTGTGCCTGGGGCCCGTCCACCCCGAAACATCGCCATTCTGGGGACTGGCTTCCATGTTTTGCTAGATCCGTTTGAGTTGGGTCTCTGTCCCTCACAGGCGGTCCTGACTGAGATGTCCCCTCGGATTCTCACACCGGCCTCCCTCCCCGGTGCGACCTCGTTCCAGCCTGAGGTCGCCCATGATGTGTGCCCAGGGTGCCTTTCTCATGGCCGGGGGCCAAGTCTTGTTGACCAAGCACTGGAGGAAACCTCAGGGCCACTGGCCACAGCTCACAGGCCTCGGAGCAGGCAGCGTGCGAAGCAGGCAGCAGGGCTGGGTGGGGACTGCGGCCAGGACAAAGGCACCGCCCCTTCTGCAGAGGAGCAGCCCCTCAGCACCGCTGACTGTCGCCACGTGGGAATCTGGCCTCCACGTGGCCGGATCTCCTGGCTTGCAACAGAAGACGGAAATTCGGACTTCTACGTGTGAGTCTCATTTTAACAGCACTGCCAGAGCATCCTCAGGCCGCACCAGCCAGACGCCTGCCAGTGTGTGGCCTCCGCACCAGGCTGTCAGCAGGGCCCGTGGCCACTTCTGCTCAGTATTTTGTCCCTCCTGCCAGTCATTTGGCCTGCCCAGAACTAGAATTCAATCAGTAAGGAAGGAATGAATCGATGCGTGCGTGCGTGCCTGCCTCCTCTTCCACGAAACCATCCCCGGCAGCCGTTCCCCAGACTGAGCCCCGCCTCACCCCCTGCACGCGGCTGTTCTGGGCCACCACAGGATAAACCTGTGCTGACAGCGGGACAATCAGGCCACCTGTGGGCTCACCTCGGGCCCATAGGGAAGCCGGGAGATGAGCTCCGGGGCCATCCAGTACGGCGTGCCGACCAGTGACTTCCTCCGTGGCACCTCCTTGCTCACCTGGGCACAGAAGCCGAAGTCTGACAGCTTCACCTGCGGCAGGGCAGAGGCAGCGGGGTCAGAGGTGCTGGCACGGGGTGCGGGCGAGCAGAGGCGCCCACCTATTTAATCCCTTGGCTTTAGACACGATGTGCAGCCCAGGGGTTAGAGCCGGGCTCTGGAGCCAGCCCGCTGGAGCTCCACCACCTCCTGGCAGGGCCCTCGGGCATGTCACCTCCCCAGACCACATCGTGTGCCCTCCTCACAGGCCCTGCAAGGAGCCGCCAGCTGCCCTGCAGTTCTTGGGGAAGTGGCCCGAGTCCTGCAGGGACCAAAGGCTCAGAGAGCCCATGCCGGGCCCTGAAGGAAGCGAGTCTCCAGTCCCCAAAACCTGCCTCTGCGACAACCAGGTCCCCAGAACCAAGGATTTACACGTTCTTCACTGAAACAGAGCTCTCTCTCCCTCTGACCCCACCCACTGCTGGGGCCTAACTTTCCTTGCGGGAGGGGGCGGAATCACCAACTTCTTCAAGAATTTAGTGAAAGTTAAGGGCCCCTTCATAAAAATTCCTGTCCCCCTCGGATTATAAACACAAGCTCTGGGCACTGGACGGCTCATCCAGGGCCCCCGATTCAGACCCTCGGTCCAGAGTATGAGCGAGGACCGGCGTCTGCAGCCCACCCGGGCGCTGGGCCAGGAGCTGGCCTTCAGCACAGGGAGAAATGTGGCTGAAAGCTGCGTCTGCCCGCCCGAACCTGTCCCCGCTGGGCCCAGGGCTGGACGACAGCTCCCTGCGTCTCGTACTAACGGCAGAGCCCTCGCCAGCCTGCCCTCTCCTGCTGCAGAGCCCCCCACTGACCTGGACCCCTGACCCGGGACTGTTCCATGAGGAACAGATAAACCTACTGCTCCTCCAGCCACGGAACTGGGGAACGGGGCCTGCCGCCCTAACACGGGAGCCTGGGGAGAGGGGAAAGTCACCCGCCTCCTCACCCTGCCATCGTGGGTCAGCAGGATCGAGTCACTCTTGATGTCCCGGTGGATGACGCCCTGGGCGTGGAGCACAGACAGGGCCTGCAGCACGGCCAGGCACACGGCAGCGATCTGCTCCTCGTTCATCCTGCGTGGGGGGGCGGGGGGTGAACAGCTGGGCAGACAGGACCCCAGGGTCTGAGGGGGACCCTGCCTTGGGTAGGGGGAACCTGAGATGACATGACCCCACTCTGGCTGGAGAGTCGCGGGTGGGGGTAGGAATCTAAGAAGACACGACCAATCCCAGGGGACAGCGCGGCCGGCTCTCAGCAGACATGGCCCCACCCCAAGTGGTCTGGAGGAGACTCAGTCCACTCTGGGGAGGGTCCAGCTGCCCTGCAGTACCTGGTGTGGGTGACGATGTCAGTGAGGGCGCCTCCTTCCAGGAACTCCATCACCACCCAGAGCTCGTCCCCCACCAGGTAGCTGTTGTACATCTCCACCACGTTCTCGTGCTGGTAGTCCCGCATGATCACCACCTGCAGCGGGCCGGGTCAGCACCAAGCCCCGCCCTCAGACCGAGCCCCGGCCACCCTCCTCCCTCCCTCTCTGGCCCGGCCCGGTCCCCCTCTCACTTTCGCTCATCAGGGTCACCTGGACGGCCCTCCCTGCCAAAGCAAGCAGAGCCTGAGGCCTGCCGCCCTTCTGGGGGTGCACCCCACCCCATGGACACACCAGTCTCAGCCCAGTCCTGGGCTGGTCTCTGAGGAGCCCCGAAGATCAGGCTGGTGTTGGCGGAGTGAGGGGGCGGGGGGGTGTCTAAGCACGGGGCTGAGACGAGGACAGCAGGTCAAGGTTGAAAGAGAAGGTGCGTGCCGGGGAGGACCAAGAACTCCGCGTTAGAGTTCACGGTGCAGCTGGAGCCCTGCAATTTGGCGGGGGGACAGGCTACGGGGCGGTCGGTAGAGGAAGTGCTGAGATGAGGGACAGGGAGGCCGGGACCAGTGCCCGGACAACCCCCAGGCCTGATGTCCCCTGGGGACTCCTGTGGCAGGAGGGGACAGGGCTGCTACAGAGATTCCTCTCGGGGAAGAAGCCAGGAGTCTGCCTTTGTAACAGGTTCCTTGGCAAAGAGGTCACCAAGAGCCAAAGCCAGAAGTTGAACAAAACCAAGTGCCCAGATGGACGCCAGATGAGAAGGGCCCTTTGGCTGTCGTGGGAGGAGTGCCGAGGGGATGCCCAAGAGGGCAGGCCGGGCAAGGTCCCCAGTGGGAGAGACGGGCGCACAGGGTGGTGGAGGGAGTGGACTGGAAGGAGGCGGGGGCACAGGGAGACAGGGACCCTGAGCAGCAGCAGGTGTGGAGACACCTGCTGGGACTCAACGCTGGGCGCGGCCTGGAGGATGCTGGGGGGGTTCCAGAGGCCAACGGACCCTGGGTCTGGGGCACAGGGGAAGGTCAGGCATGGGGTGGGGACGTGGGTGTGGGTATTGTTAGGACTTTCAGCTGGGGACGGGGACAGAGACAGCCTGGGGAGAGTGTGAGGACCGAGGGAAAGAGTGGGGCCCAGGACCAAGCCCGGGCACCCCAGCCTTAGGGCCTCTCCCCCACCTGCCCACCGGGCCTGGCCTGGGCCGGAAGCGCGCAGGGAGGAAAGGTGAGGGCAGGGCCGAGGGGGACCCGCCCGCCTCCCGCCCACCTCGTTGAAGAGCAGCTCTCGCCTCTGCTGCTTGCGGAGGTCCATCTTCTTGACGGCTACCAGCTTGCCCGAGCTGCGGACGGTGGCAATGCACACGATGCCCGTGGACCCCTCGCCGATCTTGATGAAGTTATCCAGGTAGGAGCGAGGGTCACCTGGGTCCACCACCAGCTGCAGGGCAGCCCGGAACTGCTCGTGGGACACTCGCTGCGGTTCCCGCTGTGGCGAGCGGGGGCCGGGCGGCCCGGGGGCAGCAGGGGCAGCAGGGGCGCGGGCTGGAGGGGCCAGCTGGGGCTCAGAGGCGTGGGGGCCCAGCACTCCAGGGCCGGGGGGGCCGCGGGTGCGGGTGGCAGGCCGGGAGGAGGACTGGGGGACAGGCAGGCCCCCCGCTGATGGCCCATTGGGGGCCATTTCACGAGGCTCACCCTGAAAGAGAAGAGAGAGGTGCTGTCAGCGGGGGGCGCCAGGGGCCGGCTCTGCTCCCTGAGCAAGAGAGGCCCAGCCACGGGACAGACACATGGGTGGTCAGGATGAGATGTACGGGGGGGTTGGGGTTGGGGGTGGGAGCGAGGGGAGTGACAGGAAGGGGACAGTGGGAATCCTGGGGGGATGGGTTACCTGGGCACCCCGAGACGGGTGGTCCGTATCGGCCCGCGGGTACGTGTTAAAGGGCCGGCCGGCCGCCAGTTTCGCCCCGCTGGCCAGACTGGCAGGCTGGGGGGTGCCAACGTCAGGCCCAGAGAGGGGGCGTTTGTCCCGGGAGGACTCCTGGGGTCCCCCTGAGCCCTCCCTGGAAGACTTGGGCCTCTTCTCTGGCCCCACCCGCCGCCTGTCACCACTGCTGCCGCCCGCCTCGCTGTGGCCGGCGGTCCGGCCTCGGCCGCCCGCCTTCCCTGGGCCCCCTCTGGCCGTGGCGGCCTGTTCCTCCGGCATCCCGTTTTCCTGGCGGGCACGGGCGGGTGGCGGCGGGCTGTCTCTCCGCAAGGAGTTGGAGCGTGTCACCGACATGTTCTCAAACTCGTCCAGCAGCAGCGTGAGGGCCCCATCCTTGGCACCTTTGCTGCCCCGCACGATGGTCTGGGGTCCGGGGCAATGGCGGGGTGGGGGCCGGGCAAGGAGCGGGGGGACACAGGACGTGCATCCAACACACAGGGACAGGACAACACAACACACACAGAAGACAAGACAGAGACGGAATGAAGAAATGCCATGGGGTGATGACGGGGTGGGCATGTGGGGCAGGCCCCTCCCCCCACTGAGGACTCAGCTACGGGGGGCGGGGGGAGACAAAGGAGTAATCTCTGCAGCCAGCTGTTGTCCCCCCAGGTGGGTGGCACCTCTGGGAAGTGTCCCCTTTGTTTTTCTCCTGCTCCCCAGACTGGGGGGAGAGTCCTGCCCTGTGGGTGGGGGGAGGGAGGGCAGAGCTGCAAATTACAGGACGCTGTGTGCAGGGCACGGCTGGGCACCTCCTCTCCTGCGGGCTGCCTGGTCGTTAACCCTCCAACCACTCTCTGCTTTCCTGAAGGCTGAGAGTGGGTACAGGGAGAGTCAGAAAGGCCTGCGCCTAAAGTAGAGGCACAAGGGTCCTGGGAGCCGGGTGCCAAATGCATGTGGGGACTGGGCTGAGAGCCAAGTGCGCGCCGAATCCACCCAGTCCACACCCTCCACGGCCACCACCCTGTCTCCCTCAAGTGTTGGAGTCGTGGCCCCCACCCCCAACTCAGCTCCAAGCGCACGGGTCTCCTCGCTGCTCCTCCAATACACCAGCTGTGCTCCCACCTCAGGGCCTTTGCACTGCTGGTCCCTCTGCTGGGAACACCGTCCGCCAGGGCCCATGGCTCCCTCCCTCCTCCCTTTCGGGTCTTCCTCAAAACTCAGCTTCTCAGAGAGGCTTTTGCTGACCACCCGGGGTCTAAAATGCGAGCCCCTCACACTCGCTAGCCCCCTTCTCTGCTTCCTTTCTCCTCTAGAGCACCTAATACCAGCCGACATAAAGCACGCGTGTATCTGCCCAGTGCCGGTCTGCCCGGTGGAATGTTCCTGAGGGCAGCAACTGTTTTTCCTGTTTCTGGTCCTGCTACATCTCAGCACCCAGACCAGAGTGTGGCACACAGAAGGTGCTCAGTAAACGTTTGCTGCACCAGGGAGGGAGGGAAGGAGGTGGGTTGGGCAGAGGCCACAGTGAGCTGAAAACATGGCACCCGCTGACAGGAGCCCAGCCCCACCGCTGTCAGTCGCTGGCAGACGGACATGGGCCTAGGGCTGCTAGACGTCCTGAAGCCTGAGGACTTCCTCCAGGTGCAGAAAACACTGATCCCACAAAACCCACCCAAGCCTGGCCTTGCCGGGGGGTCCCCAGGAAAGCAAGGCAGACACACGGCCAGACTTGGAGGTTAGAATAAGGGGTTGAGCGGTCCTGGCAGGACTGGGGAGATTCCCAGCCAAGATCTGCACGCACAAGTGCCCGAGAGGCCTCAGGACAGTGCTAGCCCACGGGGGCCCTTTGTGCGAATTAAGCCAAGGTGCCCCTTCCTCCCGGTGGACACACCACAGGCAGGCCCGGCTGGCGAGCCAGGCAGGGCTGTGCCCCTAGTGTGGGCACAACCTACACGCAAGTGGCCCCGGAGCCAGGCAGGGCATGGAACTGAAGGGTACTGGGCAGGGCCCGGGGGTCCAGAAGAGCCAGTGCCCCACCCGTGAGAGCAGCTGCCACCCGACTCCACTGAGTCTGGCACAAGAAGCCAAAAAGAGAGATTGGGAGGTGAAGTCTCTTGCTTTTTAAGTAAGTAGTGGCGAGGAAAGAGTATCCCAAAGCAGCCCGTGTGGGCCGCATGAACACGTCAGTGGGTGCCAGATTGAGACTCTGCACTCCTGTCTGTGGCCACTTGCTGACCTCGGCCTCCTCCTCCCAGGACGGGGCTGGGCACGGCAGGAAGAGTCAGCCGCGGGCCTGCCCCAGGGCAGGGCCTGCTGCCCACCAGGTACTCCCGTCTCCACCCCATGCAGCAAACCCGGCCCAGCTCTCCCTGGCCGGCGGCCCTTCCCAGTTCCCCCTGCCCTTGGGATAAAGTCCACGCTCCAAGGCTGGCTCCCCGGGCTCACCCTGCCACCAGGCCAACCTCACTGCAGGCCACGCCTGGGCACCAGGACCACGACTCATAATTTCACACGGAGACAGGAGAGGGGTTAAGAGTGTGGGCCTTGGAAACAGACCTCAGCTCAAATCCCCACCCCGCCACTTTGCCCAGGATGGCAGGAAGAAAAACCCCCGCTGTTTCGCATTGGCTATTTCCCCCTCTGGCCCCCAGTGTTTGCCACGACCCCTCCTCCTCACCGGCCCTCAGGGCTCAGCGCGGGTGTCCCCGCTCTCCGAGAAGCTTGCCTGGACCCCCGGTCTGGGTCAGGTGCCTCCTCTGGGCTCCCCCGTCCCCGCTCTGATCACTCGGGGCTGTCGCTGCCTGGGAGTGGTCTGTGCCGCCCACTGCCACGGGAGTTCTAGGAAGGCTCGAGGACGGGTGTGGGGACAGGAGCACGGAGCTCTGGGCGTGAGGCTGCTGCAGAGGCAGGACTGGAGGCTGGTGTGGGGACGGTCAGAGGGCTCCGTGGGTGAAGGGTCAGTGTGGGCCCAGGATGAGGGTGGAGGGTTGGGCTGTGTCCCTGCCAAGGTCAGCGAGGAGCAGGAGCTATTGGCCCAGGGTCAGGTGTGAGGCTAAGGGCCGGGGCCACCCGTGGGGGCCAGCGTGGTGGGTGCCGACGTACCTTCGGGGCCCCGGGCTGGATGGAGGTGATGCAGGCGGGGTCGACCAGCGGCTTGGGCCGGCGAGCCGACTCCTCGATCAGGCTCTGCCACTGGCGGGGCAGCCCCGTGAACTTCTGCTCATTTTGGTCGAAGCCCGTGTGCACGCGGTGCTCGAAGTTGGACGGCGCCGAGATCTCCACCCGCTTCTTCTTCTTCCCAAACATGGCGCCGGGGCCTCGGCACTGGGAGGGCTGGGACTTGGGCTCTGACGAGGCCTGCAGGAGGAAGGCGCCGGTGGGGTGAGTGGCAGGTGACAGGAACCTGCCATTTCTTCCCCTCCTGTGCCCCTGCCCTGGGCCGAGCCATCTGTCCCCCGCCTGGACCCATGCGAGGCGGCAGCAGCCTCCTCCCCAGTCTGTGCCTCACGCGCAGCCAGAGGGGGCCCGTGGACACCCACGTCAGGCCACATCCCTCCCCTGCTCGGAACCTTCCTGTGGCTCTGACTCCCTACGGCCCACGAGGCCCCCCACAATCCACCCCGCCTCCTCTCTGCTCTCCTCTCTTCTCGATACCGCAGGGCTTTTGCAGGGCCGTGTCCTCTGCCTGAACACTGTGCCCCAGTGTCCACGCGAGGCTCCCTCCTGCCCTCCTGCAGCTCCCAGCGTCCTCGGGGAATCCTTTCCTGCCCGCCCCAAGGAAAACAGCCCCAGGTCCCCCAGCCCCCGCCGCATCACCTTCCCAGCACGTGCAGCCTGTGGGAAGTCTGCCGTGCGTTCCTGGGTTTGCTGGCTCCGCATCCACACCCCACCACCAGAACGCCAGCACCACCGGCCAGGTCTCATCAGCCCCGTTTCCCCCACGTCCCACCCCATGCCCGGCGCCATGGGTACTCGGTGAACGGCGCCCACCGTACCGCTTGTTACTCAGTCGGCAGATGGCTCCCGAGCCCTGCCGTAAGCAGGACACCCAGGCACCCTCACTGTGACATTCCCGTCTTCAGGATCTGTGTCTTCAGTCTGGCACTTACAACAGTACTGGGCACAGAGTAAATGCTCAATAAAAGCCGGTTTAAGAAACAAAGGAGCCTAAGGGGAGACACGCTGACAGCGGCGTCCCACGGGGAGCCCGGAGAAATGATGGGAAGGCCAGCGCACAGGCTCTCTGCCACGTGCTGCCTGTGACCTTGGGTAAGTGACTCAACCTCTCTGTGCCCTGGATCAGCCCCCGCAGGGGTGCTGCGAGGAGAAAGTGAGTGGATACGAGCCACACACGGGCCCTGGGGTCACACAGACCTGGTTTGATGCTGGCTGGGCTAGAAGTGCCCTCAGGCAGGTGACGGCTTCTCTCGCGTCTTCGGGTTACTCATCTGCAAAATGGGAAGAAAGCATCCATTCGCTTACTCATTCATTCATTCATTCATTCATTCACCCCTAACTCGCTAATAGGCCTCCTTTGAGCCCAGCCCTATGCTGGTTGGTGCCTGAGGACACAGCAGCGACCAAGGCAGCCTCTGACCTCCTGGGGTGTTCACCTGGCGCAAACAGACCCGCCCACGCAGTGTGAGCCCAGCATGGTTGGGGCTGGGGAGGCGTCCCAGAAGAGGGGCCGCATGAGCTGAGGCCACAAAATGAGGAGAACCGTGCCGGCGTGGGGGTGGTTTCTGTCCTTTCCCGCCGGCTCCCCAGCCCTGGCACCCAGCCCAGTAGGTCTCGTGGATCTAGCAAGAAGAGAGAGGACGTTCCCAGTGTGTCTGTGACCACGTGGCCACCCCTGGCGCCTGCTTCTCAGGCTCCTCTGCTGTGGGAGCAGCTCTGGGAGGTGAGGCCACCACCCCTGGCCCAGAGGTGGGACCGTCACTGGGAGCCGTCCAGGGGAACCGGTTTGGCAGCGGGAGCCCAGTGGGAGGTGGGTGGAGACCCAGCAGCCAACCTGTCTCAACTGGTCCCAAGAGGCCGGCAGGTGGTCAGAGCCAGGCCTGGCCAGGGCTCCCCCACCTGGCCCCGGTTACCCACTGCTCTGGGGCCCCGAGTCCCTGGATGGGGGATGGGACAGCCCTGGGCAGGAAAGGGCCCCCTTTGTCTCTGCCCCAGCCCCTCCTGAACCCAGTCATGCCGGCCCATGAGCATGTCCCAGCCCTCCCTTCCAGCCTCTGTGACCCACTCCCTGCTCCCCATCTCCCCGGGTCCTTCTAGGTCCAGCTCCCAGGTTGGTCAGTCCCCCCCCCCCCCCCCGCCCCGCGCCCTATGTCCTGTGGCCTCACTGTCTTCCCAGATGTCCACCCATTTGGCCCCACACCCAGCCCTGTGCTCACCTTTAACCCTGCCCTGCCCGTCCAGCTCCCTCCTCCCACCGCCTGGGGGCACCAGGCAGCTCCCGCAGCCCTGGGCAGGAACAGAATCGGCCGGTGACCCCACCAACCCAGGAGAGGGCAGGGGCAGATCCTGCGGTGGGAGGAGCACAGGATCAAGATGGGAGGGGACGGCAGGACGCAGCCTGGACAACGGGGCAGTCAACCCCGCCAGCAGAGGGGGCTGTCCATGGCGTCTGCCCTCCCACCATCCTACAGGTTGGACCCCTCACCACAAACCTCCCAAAACACCTCTCGCCCTGCAGCCCTGTGTGACCCTGCAGGGGAAGGGGCAAAGGGACACACCTCCGGATATTTGCCTGGGCCGCCCCTTCCCTCTGGGCACAGCAGGGAGGGCAGGACAAACAGAGGAACTGGCGATGTTTATAATGACCGGGCGGGAGCCCCACCCTGGCCCTGCGGGCAGCTCCAAGCCCTGCGGCTTCCCCACCAGGCCCTCCCTCCCCGCCTTAAGCTCAACCTCAGGGAGGCCAGAGCCAGAGCCGGGCCTGGGAGGGAGGGAGGGAGCTGCCACAGAAGGATGAGGCTCCCAGGCCAGCCCAGAGCCCAGGCGCAGGCAGCCCAGGACTCAAAGCCCCCCTTTCCGTATCTGTCAAGTGGGGGTGATCCAACCCATGCCGGGAGCTCAGCGCACGGCCCTGGGCAAGCAACGCCGCTGCTCTGTGCCTCAGTTTCCTGCTCTGTTAAAAGAAGGCAATGACAGTAGCTGCTTCCTGGAGTTTTCACGAGGAGTCACAGAGCACACAAGGCGCTGGCGGCCTGGCCCAGAGGGAGGAGGTTAGGATCACAGCCAAGGCAGATCGCACACAGCAAGTGCTCAGTAAGTGCCGGTCACTATCACAGTAACAGCCAGCACTCACTGAGCATCTACTGTGTGCCACTCCTCCTCTAAGCACTTCACCCAGAGTCCCTCACTTAATCTGCACACCTGACCCAGGAGGAAGGGGCCATATGAGCACCATGTCACAGACAAGAAGAACGAGGCACAGAGAGGGCACTCCATTTACCCGAGTGGCACAGCCAGGGTGGCAGAGTGGGCATCATACTGCAGGCCTTGTCTAACCCAGAGCCTGCCCCTGTCCCCCACCCTCCTTCTCGGAATTAACAGCAGCTGCGCGCTAAGCAGCTGCGCGCAGAGATTAGCGGTTCTTGCCCTGCTCTGTGCTAATCCCATTCGGTCCCTACCAGCAGCCCAATTCACAGACAGGAAACGGAGGGGAAAGCCCTGGTGCAGGCCACCCACCTGGGGAGAGGTCGCCCTGAACCTGGCAGTGGGGCAGTGGGACACAGGAGACGGGGCTCTTATCTGCCTGTCCTGCTGCCCTTGAGGGCTGCGGGTTGGTTTGTCGGGAATTATCACCATCTCCAAGACTGGCCCTGGTCCTGGCCTCTGTCCCTCCCTCCCGTCCTGTCTGTCCACACCCAGACCTTGTCTTCTCCTGCCCTAGTCCCTCCTGGGCCTATGTGACCTGGCCTGCAGCAGCAAAGCTGTTTGAAAATCAGTCCCTGCCACCAAACGTGGCTTACTGAGGCTCCGCTCCAGCACCTCACCACCGCGAGGGGACCCACAACGCCGCGCAGACGCCCACGCTCAGCTTAGACTCCCTGCAACTCGGTGCAGAAACGGGTTCGCCAGGGCAAAACCTCTCACTAAGCTCCCCGAGCAGTGCTGGGGCTGGAAGACATCTGACCCATTCCAGAGTCAGCATCCTTAACCCTTTTCTGGCCCCCAAAACTCCTCCTCATGGCCCACGGTCTCTGTTCTCCTCTCCTCCCGCCGCCCCAGCCCCGTGGCCTCCCTGACGCTCCTCAAATCCTAGCCGTGTTCCTGCCTCAGGGCCTTTGCACAGGGCCGCAGGCTGCCTGGAACTCTCCTCTCACTGATCAGTACACGTCTCCCCGCTTCCTGCCCCAACGAGGGTCTGTGCTCTGGACCCGACTGTCCCTGCTCCTGTCTTGTCACGCTCTGTGCCCGTGTCTGTTTTTTCTTTTTTCTTTTTGCTTTTGGGGTCTCTCTTGTGTGTGTGTCTAATTCTTTAGTGTCTGCTTCTCCCCCTAGAATGCCAGCTCCACAAGGGCAGGGACCGTCATCTGTCCTGTTGCCTGCTGTGCCCAGTGCCCATGTGCCCGGCCCATAGCAGGGACCTGATGAGCATGTGGCGAACAAACCAATTCACCTGTAGCTGCTGCACTGCACCCCTGCTCAGAGCCTCAGAGAAGGTTCTGGTAGCACTTGGGGAGCTTTTCTGGAGAAACACCGGGGCCCAGAGGCAGCGGCTGAGCCAGTAACCCCAGAGAGTGGAAATGGGGAAGGACGCGTGCGGCCCTGCTGCCAGCTGGGGCACAGACGCCTCTGAAGTCCAGTGTTTGATGCTAAAAATTCAGGCACGGTTTACGCCCTACTCTAAAATGTTTATTTCAATTTTGAAAAGCTGTGAATCCTCTAGTATGTGGGACAGGCAGCATCTGACCTGGCCTAGCAAAAGCTTCAAATTTTCCAGTTAACCCTGCAACCCTCTTGTTCTACCCTCTGATCTTTTATGAGAAGAAAATGGTAGCAGCCCTGCACCCCCCACCCCAGGTAATCTGCCCAGGTGGAAGAGATCCACTTGTGCGACAAAGCTGCCTGGGGTGTGCGTGTGTGTGTGTCTGTGCACATGGGTGCACACAAAATCCTTACCTCCTGCCCCCTGCCCCACGCTCTCCAGGCTCTGAATAAAGCTGCTGCCCCTGGCGTGGAGGGAGCTGACCCAGCTGGAACCCAGGGGCCCAGGGACAGAACAGGCATGCGACCAGGGTCACAGCCATCCGCCTTCGCGTTCACCAAAATGAAACCCTAATCAAGAAGCGGATGAGGCAGAAGCGCTCGCTGCCCCCAGCCTGCACTCCAGGCCTCCACCACTGGTGCCCACTCCCGCTCTGTCCATCTTTACCTGCCAGCTGCGGGAAGGCCCCTCCCTGCCTCAGTTTACCTCCTACTTTGCAGGGCCTGTGCTCTGATGATGGAAGGGAGCCTGGCTTACCATCCGGGACACAGCAGGCTCCTCACCACCCCGAGTACGCCACCTCCCCAGCTCTGCCACCATCCTGCACGCCCCCCACCCTCTCCTGTCCAGCTCTGAGCCTGGTTGCTCCAGGGAATCCTCAGGCTCTGGGACTGCCCCCCACCCCCTCCTGAGCAAGCTCTGATCTATCCACAACTAACTCCATCACACCCCCCACCCCTCCCAATGGTCCCTCCACCCATCAACATCTACCGAGGGCCCACAGCCCTGGACAGAACAGCAGAAACAGCCCCGTCCTGGCAGAACGCACATTCTAGGGGGAAGGAGACAGCCCACAAATGACGTCTGGTGAATCGGGTGATAAAAGCTGCAAGGAAAATAAAGCCGGGACCAGGCGGCGCTGAGCACAGGGGGAGCTGGAGTTTTCGATAAAGGGGACACTTGAGCAGGGACCTGGGGGAGGAGGGGGCAGGAGGCTGCATGGGTACCCAGGCGGGAGCACCGGCCAGGGCGAATGACGAAAGTCCCGAGGCAGGGACGTGTTTGGTGTGGTCAAGCAGCAGCGGAGGCCGTGGGGCTAGAGCAGGCAGGCGGGGGACTCGTGGAGACAGGTCATGGGGCCGACGGGGCAGAGACTGTGGGGCCTTGTGGGCCACAGGGAGGGCAAGCTCCTTTCCCGAGCGAGAAGGGGCCACAGAAGGGGCCACAGGATGGGGCCAAGGGCTCCCTCTGGCTGGGAGCGGTCTGTGGGAGCAGGATGAGAGCCGGGCGACCAGGGAGGAGGCGGCTGAGACGGTCCGTGGGAAACGAGTGGACAGGACCACGTGGGGCTGCAGAGCGGGCAGAGTGGGCAGGTTCTGGGCATGCTCCGAAGGGCGAAGTGGCAGGACCTGCCCAGGACTGACAGCACGAGTTGTAATAGCCGCAGTGTGGGCTCCACAGGGCAGGGGCCTGGCCTGGTCTTGCTCA